CATATCTCTCGATCACCATTTTTGTCAACAATGGCTGCTTTTGCTAATGGTATGAATCTTTGACGGTGCCATTTTCGTTGTTTTTATATTAATTCTTATGTGTTCGATTCGGATCTCTGAGTTTTGAATTATGATTGCAGGGGAAGAGCAGGAGGTGTAGAAGAACTCTAGGTGGAGCACTCCGATTTAACCGTTGAGGCCATGATGCTCGACTCCAAGGCCTCTGATCTCGACAAGAGAGTGGAGGAGAGAGATGTGGTTGGGAGGGTCGGGAGGCAGAAGAGGGGTGGGGAGGGGTTGCGGGGTAGGTGGGGGTGGGTCTTGTGTTTTTCAGTTTTTTTATTTTAATTAATTTTTTTTGCCACTTGGCACAAATGTGGCAGCCACGTCAACTTTTAACGGATCAATGAATAGAAAATGTAACGGATGTATTATATTGAAATAAAATAGTACTTGAGGTATGAAATTGAAATGTTTTAAAGATGTTGTAAGAAATTGAAATCGACCTCAAACTTAAGGTGGTAAAGTGTAATTTACCCTCTTTTTTTTTGGTAAAAATACCAAAACCAAAGCCATCCCCAGCCACGAACCTGAGTTGCAAAACCGTTCCAAGGAAGAAGATGATGAAGACAGACGGCGAGGGCTTTCTTTTCTCCCGACTTTTCGTTTTTCAATAATTTTTTTCTCTTTAAAATTTAAATAGTCCCCACTTTGCTAACATTTCTTATCCCACTATCTTTTTTTTATTCACTTTTATTTTTATATTATTTATAAGGGGATTCTCTCTTTAATGTTTTTTTATTTACTATAAAAAAATAAAAATAAAGTACAAGATTAAATTAACAATAAAACTTAAATTTATCCATAAACCCACATTCAATAGCCAAACCCTTACAATCACACAACTTTTTCTCCTACGATCTATTATGGCTAACCTTACTCCATCTATGTCCTCCTACATAAGTTAATTACCAAAACCGTAATACGCTTTCATGGAGAATAAAAAAACACTTTTTTTTAATCAACAGATGGTGATTTTGAAGTTTTAGAGCACTCCCACATGGGTCATACTCAAATATGCCAACTGTATTTGACAATCTTTGCCTAACTCTTTGACAACAAGACATCCACTACATTCCAGTTCATAGCATCTAATCACTTGCTTTGTGTTCCTCTAATCTTTTGCCGCGATGGCCCGGATTGTTCCTACAATCCAAGGTCATGCTTAGCGCCGTTTTAACGTTTATCTTTGCTTTGACAACTTTGAGACCTTTGGGGTTAATTTTAGGTGTTTTTTTTCTTCTTAATTGGGTGTAAAGATAAATTAACATATTGGATTGGGTTTGTGGGGTAACTTAGGTAGTAATTTGGGTTTAAAAATATATTAATAGATAGTAATTTAAAGTGTCAATAACAATTCCTAATAATTTTATGTGGAAGGTATTCAACAACATATGGGGTCTCAATAAAAAAAAAAAAATCTTTCTATTTATTATTTTTTTTGAGAAATATTTGGATTTTCTAATAATAAAATTTGAATCAACGAAGACAAAAGTAGTGGAAAAGGAAAATGTCTTTTCATACAGTCTCATTGAGTTTTATTTACATTTAAGAGGTTTAACATGGTAAGAAATTTTATTTGCTTTATAAAATTCATCACACTAATAATCATTGACAAATTTTATTTGAACCCATATAACATCTTTCTACACCTAACTTACTTTTTACACCCATATTAAAAATAATTAAACTATCAAAATCTTTTTAAACCCAAATTTACTACCTGAACTACCCTTACAAACTCAATTCAAAATATAAATCTATCTTTACACTCATTAAAACAAAACTAAATTGATTAAATGAAAACCTGTTATACGACGATTGAGAGTGCAACATGGAGGATCATGAATGGAGTAGTTATCCCCAACATTACAACTATCTAGAAAAATAAAATTGCAGAGAGTGAATACGCTTCATTTCGATCATATGCCCATCTACGCTATTCTATGCTCCATTCCGTCCATGGTTTGTCAAACTTTTCTATTAATAGCCAGTGTGAAGTATATGGGGATGAGTATACCAATACTGGACTTGATCAAGAAGACGAAACCAACAATAACTTCACGTGAATTGTTTATTTGATTGATGGCATGAAACCTTGGAAATCAAACGCGGTTGAGCATCCTAAAGTTGCTGGTGCCTTTGAGAAAATTTAGCTAGTGGCATGATGATTCCTTTCTGAAAGGATTGTCCCAGGGGTGCAGGGCAATCGGGCAGTGATGCAGGTGCACTGAAGGCAACTAGTACTTCACAATGCAAAGAAGATGGCGTAAGAAAAGTTCATGCTAGTGATGATTTTATATTCGAGATATAGATTTATGTACGAATGTGATTGAGCTTTTTGCAAGCAATACACTTGTAAACCCTAAACAAAAATAATTAAAATCAAACAAAAAACTCACATAAATCGATTCATACTTTAGTTGAAGGTTCCAAAACTTCAAAATCCTTGTCCATCCGTAAAAAAATAGCTTGGTTTTGTCTATGTGAGTAAATTAGGGTTTTAGCTAGAATAGAACGTAAGGGAAATATTGCATGATGATAAGGATTCAATTATTAGTGTGGGTTTATTAATAAATTTTAGTTTTATTGTTAATTTCATTTTGTACTTGATGGTAATTATACAATAGGGCAAAGATGACAATTCACATTTAAAGTTTAAGTTGGGTGTAGAATGAGGTTACATGGGTTCAAATAAAAATTTCCATAATCATTTGATTTTAAAGGTTAAGAATTAAGTAGTCCAACCGAGTCCAACCATCAATGAGTTTTCTTCAAACAAAAGGAATTGGATTTGCTCCGGACTTTAGTGTCCGGAGCCTAAGGATCAACTTATCTAGGCCGCATCTTGCGGTTTCCATTAACTCATTTCGCTAGCCCACCACACACACACCAACAACTTTGATTTCTTTTACACACCAATTAGCGGTCCAGATAAATTGATCCTTAGACTTCGGACACTAAGGTTAGGAATGGATCAAATTCCCAAACAAAACACTTAACCTGTATCATTCAGTTGTGTGTTCATTTATTCAATGATTGAGAATATATTTAGGTTATGTTTAACTCGTGATGGATGGGATTAAGCCTTAAGGATGAGATTTGATAGACATGAACTTGTTAGACATGATTTGTAACCCATGTATAAGAATATATTAGATAACTCACTCTATTGTGAATTCATAACCCATCATATCCAATCTTTTGAATCTCACATTTTGACACAACAAATAATGGACTGGACTCAAGTCCTTGATCATAACCTATTCCATCCAACCCACCAAAAGAGGCCTAACTGTAACATCCCACATCGCCCAGGGGTGTGGATCTTGTAAGCCTTATATGTATATTCCCATCTTAACCTAGCACGAGGCTTTTTGGGAGCTCATTGGCTTCAGGTTCCATCGAAACTCCAAAGTTAAGCGAGTTCACGCGAGAGTAATCCCATGATGGGTGACCTATTGGGAAGTTCTCGTGTGAGTTTTCAGAAACAAAACCGTGAGGGCGTGGTTGGGGCCCAAAATGGACAATATTATGCTACGGCAGAGTCGAGCTCGAGATGTGGTGGGGGCCCAGGCGGGGATGTGACACTAACGCCATCTCCAACCGAAATAGCTAAACATAGTCTCAAGAAAATTATTTTTAAATGAACAGTATCAGATACTCATGTACCATCTCTAACTGAAGGGGTTAAATATAGCTGCCTCAATAATTTATTTGTTTATACTTTAAATTTATTGGTTAATTTAGTTAAACTACCTTTGAATGTTTTAAAAAATAGTCGTCGGATTTGAATCAATTATTGCAACTGAGGAGCCGAGCTCTAAAAAAAAGCTAATAGGAGGCTACATTTGGGCATCCTGATGCCCCTTTGGCCAAATACTAGCCTGGTGGACTTTATAAAATTATAGCCTAGCCATCAGTTGAAGATGTGATTTTGGACAAATTAGGCCATTTTTTTTGCTTTTGGACCTTTATCCCTCTCCATTGAAGCTGCCCTAAGGGTTAAGCATTTGTCAGCACTGAAAAGAATTTCAATCCTCCAATCCATTATTTGAGTGCACGCTTAATAAAACACTTAAGCAACTACTTAGTACTACGGTCTAGTGGTATTCTTCTTCACTTGTAAGTGAAATGTTTTAGGTTCAATTCTCGCCAAAGGCGAATTTGAACCGCATTATTACTGGCACATTGTAAGGCTAAGTCCACTTCCTTCCCTTTAATGTAAATAATATCAGTTGTTCAAGAAAAACGAAAACAAAAAAACATTAAGTGAGTAGTTTTGGACAATTCTTTATCCGAACATCAACATATTATAATTTCTCCCCTAATATAAATGTATAATCATTGATGCAATTTATTGTAAATGTAAAATTCTAGCATTGAAGTTATGTGTTCAGTCTCTCTTTCCAATAACTCCAATATCGCTTGTATAAAAAAGAAAAAGCGTGTATACAGGGCCAAGGTCAATTGACTAGTAGACTTCTTGTTTTCACAAGAACCAAGTGTTCCATTGTTTAGTATGCGTTTGATTCAAATTTCTGAATTGCAAACTTGTAAATCATAGAGAAGTTAGACAAGGATTCCAAATGTTTCCCAATTCTTGAAAGTTGAAGTAGGCATTTAAACAAAATTGAAGTTGAAGGGAAAGGTTTGGAGCTCCTTACCCCAGTTCGAACTCACACAATTACATTCATCGGGAGGCATTGCCGTGGGGACAACATGGGAGAGAAGAATTAGTCTACCATCACAATGTGTGGTGGAATACCTCTTATACTACAAAAAATATAGCTGAAATACGTAGTCATGCCCTAGAAAGAAAGCCCCACTGACCTAATTGGTTGAGTTTTATGGTAACATATGGTAGGGGACTATCATCTTCTCAACATTTTGGGAACAAAAGTGGTTCATGCGCAAATCATATTGTATCCTCTCGTGTATATCAAAACATGAGCCCCACAACTAGTCCCTATTTTTAAAATGATCAACTTTGTGTGATACACTTTTCAGGACTACATTTCTTGATCATTGCATGCTTTCACACATGAAACAAATGTTTCAAATCAAATCCACCCAGAGAGTAAAAGAAATGGGATTTACACAACTTACAAATTTAAGGGCTGCAGTGTGTAAACAAATCATGCAGCCGATAACAACAAATGGTACAGAAGGATTCCTACAACAAACTAAGAGATCTGTACAAAAAGTGTAGCAAACCACCTACGTGGATAGCAGATCTGTCGTTACCTTGGTTCCACAGGAAGGCCTTGTTCTTAACCTCTTGATTGCTCCACTTAAAATCCAGAGACCTGTCTGAGAATTGGAATCAAGCTATACACATAGGGAAGGAAACTTTTGCCATCAATTGACCTGCTAAAACAGCTAACTAAAGAGATTCGGTGCAATCTTCAATTGAGCATGACCGAAATTATAAATGAATTTGCAGGCCGCACATCCCTGGCAAGTTTCAAAACAAAGTGCTACTGTCGGTCCAGAGTCTACTGTGTTGCCAATCTCCGACTTCAAGAAGCAAATAAACTTTGGTTTTGTAAAAGCACGAGAGAGCTACAAACTAGAGGTATGTTCAACTACCAGTTCCTGAAAAAATCAGAGAAGGAGAAACTTCGGTTTCAAACATAAGGGCTTTAAAAACTACATAGACAAATGCAATCAGAGATCCGATTGTTCAATAATTTGGACCTAGGGTTCATCAAGTCAACAATTAACTAGCCTCACCGTTACGATTGTGACTGTTCCGAAATCATCATTCCACCAAAAATCAAAGGTGCTTCAGTAATTTTTACTCTTCTTTTACCTTCTTCGTTGGTGAAATGACTTCCTGTGCAAGCATTGTTGACAGATGAGTACCAAAGTCAGTATCTAGAAAACGAACTCCTTTCCATAACAATATGATGAAAACTATAAATAACTGCACATATCACTTGTTGCAGAAGGCAAACCTGATCACATATAGGACAGGAATCACTTCTTTCCATCCACTGAAGGATACACGAGAGGTGATAGTGGTGTTCGCATTTTGTGATAAACTTTGGATTCTCTGTTTCATACTCTACAAGTGGAGAAACAAGATTAATCATTAGCTACCTACAGTTCAAAATAGAAAAACGATGCAAATATGGTGTCTCTTAGTTTCCCATAATCGAGAAGAAAAATAATCATACATCAAAAAAATTAGTTCCCTGAGCTATTGATGGTAAAGCACCTTCGAGACAAATGGGACAAACATCTTCGTCTTCTTTTTCTAAAACATGAGGTTCATTTGATTTTGAAAGTTCTAACTTCTTCGGTGAGATATCCAAAGAACTTTCTTGAACTTTGCAGTCTGATTCCCCAAGATCTCCACAAGTTGCTGAAGTATCAAAACTACTGCAGCTAATTGTTTCCCTGGCAGAATCAGAATCTGTTGATCGTGAACATCCAAAGACCATATCATATGGCAAAGGTGGAGGAGGGGGTCTGTAAGTGTCTGGTATTGATGCTTCCAGATCCCAATGAACCAGGAGTCCTGCACTGATTGTGGAGGCTGTGACATCAAGAGATCTTAAGGACTCTTGCTCTTCCAAAACCGGAGGACACTGAAGAAAAGAGTTTTAAGAAAAGAAAAGAATTAGAATTAAGAATCAAATCTTAATGCATACGGTAAACTTATACGATATTAGAAAAAACAAGAAACTCTCCTAATATCATGTGATAAAATTATTTCCACTATCGGCCCGAAACAGTTGGGTACTCAATGAAAAGCAAACTAGAATAACAAAAGGGATGTTGGAGTGAGAAGGGAGATACACGTACATAGATATATACAGGTGCTCCATGCAGATGAGCTTTTCTGCAAGAACAGCAACAACCGCCCATTCTCTGCAGTTATTCTTCTTAAACACCCAACACAAGTGTATATAGGGGCATTGCTTCCTGTTAATTGGCATCATAGGCGACTAAGTCAATTGCTATAGATTGAAGATAATTAATATGTTACTATGAGTTAAGAAGATTATATACAACAACATTAAAAGGATATTATGTTACTAAAACCTAAAAGAAGCCACAACAAAGTGCTTAAAATATTTAATTAACCCTCGCAAAGAGGCAAGAATAAGAAATAAGAGTTGGCAGGCAGAGATATGTCGGAAAAAGGTGAACTGCAAAATTATCGACCAGCCAACAAAATAGTTGGTAAATTCTGAAGAGACGATGTAATTAGCTTTTCAGACTCTGTAAAACTGACAGTTTCATGAACCCAAAATTTTTAAATGGGATTTTATATTGCTAGTGCAATCAAATAAGAATTGCAACTATAAAAGAAAGGGGGTTATCACTAGTACCCATGCTTATGGTGCCAGTTTTCTGTAGAAGCTACCGCCCACGATGCCAGCAGTCCAGAAATCTCATGCTATGAATTACAGCGACCAAAAACCACAGTACATATCAAATTTTTCTAAGATGCAGCACTAGAAATTAGTGATGGCGTTGCACTTTGAATTCCATTGCTCGAAGCATATTCCATTTTCGTATGTTACATATGCAATCCCTAGCATTTGAACCTAATCTTTATAGTATTTATGCATGAGAACAAAAATACAACCTGTAGAATCCTTGCTAAAAGGAACAATAAAACACAAAGTCTGTGAGACCCTCTTCTGCTCCAAATACTCATTCAACTCTCCCAATGCTATTCCTAATCAACAATTAAGACAAACAAAAACCCCAATTGAACAAAAACTAAGCATAAAACAGTAAAGAACACAAACAAAATAGCAAACAGAAACCCAATTGAATAAAATACTGCAAACCCACAAATCCAATCAAAACCCAGATGCGAATTTCACCGAATTAAAGCACCTAAACAAGAAAATTAGTTCTTGCACACAAAAACAAGCACACCCAGATGAATGATTGATCAAAATTCGCGAGCTTTAAATGTTAAGAGCAAAGCTTTTACCTGTAGAAGCTGGAAAGAGAGCGTTTTGTGAAAAGAAGTATCCAGTCGGTGATAGAAGGAAATTAAAGCCTCGCTTTTGGCTTTTGTGGGAAGTGCTTTCTGCGTTTGCACAGTATGCACTCCACTCTCGTATGAGTCCCTCTCGCGTACGCTATGATGGTCTAGCCATGTAGTTCACGTCTCTATTATTACGCCAATATAATTATTTAATTTAACTGATGGGTTAAGTTTGTGATTAACCACTTAATCATTCATTGTTCTTGCATTATGGTTATGGGGTTGAAGGATGACGTGATCTGGTGTGGAGGAAGTGGGGTTTTCTACTGGGTTAGATCGGTTTTTGAGGAAAATGACAAATTTTGGAAAGGTCAAAAGTTGGACTTACATGAACGGGTTACCAGCATTGACGTTTTGGTTAGAGGGAAAATTTGAAATAGGTTCAATTTTATAGGGTTATTTTTGAAATAGGTTCAATTTTTAGTGATTTTTTATTTTTGAAATAGGTCCAATTTTTAGTTACTTTTGACCTATATCAAAATACCCTTTGGTCTAATAACATAACATCATGTGCAAGGGCGGATGCACTATAGGACCAAAGTGGCCACTTGACCATCCAGAGCCTAGGAAATAAGTATGTGAAGATTTTCAGGGACCTTCTCAAAGTTTTGTACGGGTACCTCTTGTGCCCACTAATTGTTTGATGTAATGCATGCTAGCATATATCAATAGCACTCGGCAGGTTGCGTTGACAATACTCGACAAATGCTCTCAATAGCACTCATTAAATTGCTTCAGCTTATGTCGGTTTCCATTGACATATGCTCAACATGGTTGAGTTGCCAATAATATACCTACCAAGTGTTCGATGAAATGTCTCCGTGAATAAATTGAAATTTGTTTGCGTGCTTTGCGCTATGCTTTTATCTAAAAAACTTGGACCTTTAACATTGGGACTCCCAAAGTTCAAATCCTGAATCTGCCGTTGATCATGTGTATAAAATTGAAACGTCATATAGTGATAAACTTGTTTCATTCAAGTTGTTCCGAAACCTCAAACCATTACACTTTGTTTCTTACTATACTTTTCCTGTGAGTAACAAAATTTTTCTAAACTCCTTGTACATTTGTTGAATAAGATGACAATTTTAAACATGAGTTAGTACATTTTAATCATTACTTAACACAAATTTGTTTAAGTCATTTATCATTACAGTCTAGTGGTATATATTCCCATTTGTGAATACTGAGTTCGCTATTAACTTATTTTCTCATCTTTATAGATATATCGTTGTATAAAAACATGCATAAACGATCCAATAATGTGATTGTTAAACAAGAGAGGTTATTGTTTGAAACGTAGACAATTAAAACTTGACACGACATATCTTTTGAGCACTAATATATGGAAAAAACAAATACTAATTCTGATTAGGGTTGGTGGCAATAAAGTGAATTATTTTCTTTCCTTTGCTGCCGATCCTAATTCTGATTAGGATTAGGGGTGGGCAAACGGGTAGAGGAACCGCGGGTCGGGGCGGGTAATGTAGGTTCGGGGCGGGTACGGGCCGGATCCTTCTTTTTTTGGGAACAAACAGGGCGGGGCGGGCCGGGCCATGGTTATTTACGGGGTGGGCCGGTTCCTAAACCTTAGAAAAACGGGGCCCCGGACCGACCCGTTTCCAATTATAATCAACGGTTAAGATTGAATGATAATCTATCATCCAATCTGAACCATTAATTTGTAACCTAGGTTTCCAAATCAGTTTCAGTCTCTCACTCTCTCATTCCCACGCCCACCTCTCCACTGTCACTCCATCGACTCCCTCGACTCCGACGACATCCCGGAGAACTCCCATCACCACCGCCGCGACCAACACAACGACTCCACCACCACCCATCCAGCCATCCTTCGACCTCGACGACATCCGTTACTTCGCCGGCTACTGTAAGTCTACTGTCTACTTCTCCGAATTTTATTTTTGTTGATGCAGAGGATCAGTAGCATGAATAATAGGATTGATTAGAGAACTGCTTGCGTTTTTTCAGATTTGGGGTTTTTTTTTATTGATGGTCGACAATTTTGAATTTAATTGGAATTTGGATCAAGAACAAGAACTGCGTGCGTTTTTCAGATTTGGGGTTTTTTTTTTCTTCTAGTTTTGATTCAAGTAGTCTCCCTGCGTTTTTCAGACTTATGGCCATCGTTTTGATTTAAGTTGTCTCCCTGCGAAAATAAAGCTTTCTTAACTGGAGCAAATATTTGTTCCTTAATTTGTTGGAGGATGACTTACCCTTACAAACCAAAATGTTACGAACTAGATTTGAGTACTGTCAGACTAGATTAACATCTTGTGATTCGTTGAATGGAGAGCCAAGACAAAAGTAAATCCCGTTATGTATGAGTTTTGTAATTTTTTTCATATAATGGATCATTACAGTTTTATTTTTTAAGGGATTTGAATCTGTGCAAATGTGAATGAGTGACTGTGAATCTGCAGGGGCTGGGAATGTGCAAATGTGAATGAGTGAATCTGCTAGGGCTAGGACAGAATTTGAATATGTGCAAATGTTACACATTTCTCCTTTGGTGTAGGGTTCTAGCATCGGTAAGTGGTGATAACAAGTTTTGAGAAGTTAGTTCTTTGATGAGCTGTGTAAAATGCAGTTTTGAAACTGTGCAGTTTTAGAATTTGTGTAAAATGCAGTTTTGAAACTGTGCAGTTTTGTGATGAGCTTAGCTATGTGTTTTGATTTTGGTGGAAGGCAGGACTTTTGTCATCTCTAAGAAAGCAAGGACTTTTGTCATCTCTGAGAAAGCATCTGAGTTTTCCGGATTTTAATTTTATTCTGGTTTTAATAAAACAAGTGTTTACTTTGACTTGTTTATCACTTCAGGTTGTTTATCATGCTAAGGCACTTCCCCATTGAGTCAAGAGGACGTCAAAAAAAGCTAGAGGAGGTTTGTGCGTATATTTCATTCATCAGTGGCAGTTTTCAAACGCAATTCTTGCAATTTGTGTTAGGAATCATGGTTCCTAACTTATTTACGTGGCAGGTTGGATGGGTCACAGGCATTTGCTGCACATGCAGTGTTTAACTCTCTGCTGTGTATTTATGTGTTGTGTGATGAGCTTAGCTATGTGTTTTGATTGTGTGCAGTTTTAGAATCTGTTTAAAAATGCAGTTTTAGAATCTATATGTGCAGTGTTTAACTCCCTGCTGTGTATTTATGTGTTGTGTGATGAGTTTAGCTATGTGTTTTATCAAGAGTGTGAAGAAGGTAATTCTTTTGTTTTGTATAGTTTGGTCTATAACTTTATATTAATTTGTTTACAATTAACATCCTTTTGTTCTTTGTTGTAGAATATAAAAGAAGAAAAGCAAATGCTAATGTTATATCTACAAGCTCAACCATCCCATCAAGTGATGCTGAAATTGAAGCTCCTCATCAAACAACTCAAATGAATAAAGGAAAAGGAATTGCGGTAATATTTTAAACTTAAATGAATATGCTTTACTTTTCAATGATTCAATGAGGATAATATGATGATGGACGTTAATAATATCAAGTTTATATTTTATTTTTCCTTACAGATTCAATGAGGAATGATGTTGGAACTTGGATGTTGGAATTGGATGTGGTTTCCTATGTTCATTTGGAATTTATTGAAAATGTCATGTTTATGTTGTTTTGAATTATTTGATTTTTGGACTTTGGAATTTGGATGTCTTGGACTCTCGGTTTTGAATATTTTGTATGTTGATTCGATCTTTAGATGTTGGACGCTATAACGTTATTTTGGATGTATTGAATATGTGCAATTGTAATTTGCACAGATTGCAAATTTGTGCAATTGCAATCTGTGCAGTACTGTAGCTGTGCTTTTTTTTTTTTTAAATTTCAATCTATGCTTTAAAGTTTAAACAGGAAAAAAAAAACAGAGGACCCGTTGACCCGGATGGAACCGGCCCGTTTCAACCGGGCCGGGTAAGGTCCGGTTCCTATTTTAAAATTTGTAATGCCCGACTCGGCCCGGCCCGTCTCACTTTATTCCGGATCCGGTCCGGTCCCTTCAAAAATGGGCCCGGCCCGGCCCGTGCCCACCCCTAATTAGGATTGGTGGCAAGTTGGCAACCCTTTCTTCTTTCCCTCTGCAACCATTTTCTTTCGTTTTTGTTTATTTCCCCTGCTTTTCTTCCTGCTTATTCCATAGCCTTTTCACCATTGACTAGCACTAATCTCTCCATCCACTCATATCCACTCATCGAATTCTCAGATCCTTTCATCCATACACCCATCTACATGTCTTTCTTCCGCATTCCACTGATTCCATCTTTTTTCAGACCTTTAACCAATTTTGACCGCGAACTGTTGCAGTCACCAACTTAGAAGGTGTGTAGAGCTCCAGTGTTCACACCGACTCGGGTGGCCACACCACCACCTCATTCTTTATGTCTGCCTTTTCTGGAAATGTTGCTTGTGGTAATCCCACAAGCTTCTTTGCTTTGGTGGTCTTGTTTGACGAGATGCTATCGTTTGGAAGTCGGAATCCATCTTCTTTCCACCTATGAGGTGATGGTTCCTGATAATAGTTGGTGGTGGCGGTTCGAGATCGTCGGGGTGTGCTACTGCGACGGCGATTTTGGCGAAAGAGTTGGAAGAAAGCATTGTTTTTTTGTTGTGGGCCAAACTTTGTTTTGGACTTTGGGTTACTTTTGAGGTCCATATTTTTGTTTATGTGGATATTGTACTTGGACCTAACTTGTAAGTTAATAGCTTCTCCTTACCAAACCTAGGGGTGGGTTAAAAAAACAGAAAACCGAACCGAAACCGAAAAAACCGAACTGAACGAAAAAATCGAACCGAATTGAAAAAACCAAAAGAATTCGGTTCGATTTTAGTGATATAGAAATCGAACCAAACCGAACCGAAATGAATTAATAAATTAAAATTTTTATTTAATTATTTGTTTTGGGTATTGTTTTCTAAACTCAATTTGCAAGTTAAAATGTGCTAAACTCAATGTTGCCAAACTTTAAGCTCAAAATATTAAAAAAAGGCCTATAAAAACTCTAAACCCTAACCTATTATTTTTCTCCCATATAAGGTTCTGGAACCAAACCTTCTCCTGAAGTACATGCATCCATCTCCATAGCACTATCTACTTCTGCCCCAGCTTTCTTTTCCAAATCTACTCTCATATAACATGTAACAGAATCCATAAACATTTATTTCGGGTAGATTACTTGGGTAATTTGTGATGGAAAAGAATCCAACACACACTAAATAAATCCACCCACGCATTACTTTTACTAATCAAGTTGTCAACATGCAGTTACAAGCAAAACAACCCTGATCTTTGAACAACATCATACAATTTAACTTTTCTAAGTCATTTGTACGATTTTTGTGTTGTGAGGTTGTTAGTTTGGACTTTGGAAGACTTGATTGATGATTTTAGTTCAACTTTAAATGTTTATTTTCATTGTCTTTGATTCTAGTTAGAATGCTTATGTTATGATTGTGTTGGATATGTTAAAATTTAAAATTTCAACGTTTTTCATTTTTTGAAAAAAACAAAAAAAAAAAAACCGAACCGAAAGAAAATGAACCGAACCGAACCGAACCGAAAGTTCGGTTTGGTTTTGGTTTTGGCAAAAAACCGAACCGATTTAAACCGAACCCACCCCTAACCAAACCTAATCATACTATTTATCTTATGTAATAAATTAATATCACTAATTCTTGTACTTTCTAAATATTTAAAGAAGTCTGAATTATAATCAGCTATGTACTGTAAATCATACATTTGTAGTTCTAAATTTCTAATAGCTCTTATTTGTTTTTATTCACTTCCTCTAACTATTACGATCTAAAAATTCTTGTTTAATTAAAGCAACCAAACCATCTAAGTCAAAATTTGTTTTAGTTACTTGATGTTGTTCTGGATATTGAACTTTTCATGCTTGAAATAATAATAAATAAAGCCATCTAAAGTATGCTCAAAATAATCTAACATGTTTTGTGAGTACTAAAATTTAACATTAATACTGCATGAACCCAACTTTTTTTCTCATCTCTCTATTGTTTTCTCCTAATTTTCTGAATCTATATTATTTAAATTTAATATATTACCTGCTATATTAATTTTGTTAAATTCTCCTTAAGTATGGTATCTTATTTTTTTTAGGTGGTTTAACCATATTTTCATGTAGTATATTCCTCTTCGTTCAGTATTCATCTGTTTGTCTAAAAAATTGTTGATTTGTTCTAGCAGTGTATCTTGGATTATTATCTACTCCTGATGTTCCATTTTTTCTGCTAGATTACATTTAATTTTTAACTATAATAAATTTTTATACTCTTCTGCTCCTAAACTATGTTATACTCTTATACCGAAAATTAATTTTTTTCATTCTTTCATCTGAAACTGTGTTCTACTCTAATCGACATCTTTTTGCGAGTGGCCGTAAACTCACTCTGTTGCGTTGGATGTGTGTCCAAGACTTTATTCAAGACGGTGAACCACCTCTCTTTCTCCGTACTCCATGTGCGCGTTCCCTTATGCGACCAATGCAGTTGTTAAAGTACCTCAACTCATTTGTTTTTACAATACATGTCTTTTTGAGAGCAAGGATAAGTTATTGACTTTGCATTCAGTGAAATACGACGACAACAAAGATGGTAACGGTACCTTAACAAAACGTAAATATGGAATTACTGTGTCCAGATCATTTGGTGAGCTGCTGCCCAAAAAACTTAATGTTTCGTCGTATTTTGTTTCCTACAACTTGTTTTGTTTGGCATGGAGCGATGGGGAGTTCTTGTTGGTCAATCCTCTTGCAAGGAACCATGGCGAAGGGAAGAGGAAGCTCTAAGGCTCCCGGGCCCGACCAAGAGTAGTGACGATGACGCCGTACTCATACAACTTCTTCAACTTCCAAATTTATACGTAGTGGCAGATTCAGGATTTTAAACTTAGGGGGTCTCAATAATAAAGGTCAAAAAATTTATAGACAAAAATAACATTGAAAAGTTAAATATAATACATTTCATTCAAAAATCATATGCAAAACAACATTACAAGCTATAAAATCCTAATTCAAGCGTTCACGATGAGGTTTCATAGTCTGAAAATGTTCCATGATAACTTCATTACCAATACATGAAAAAACATCTTTCTCAATGTAAACAACTAAGCTGTCACTCAACCATTCATCTCTCATTTTGTTGCGAAGTTGACCCTTAATGATATTCATAACGGAAAATGTCTTCTCCATTGTTGAGCAAAAATTATACATAATATGTAAACAAATAATTCACTCGACACAATTTCATCCTCGTTCATTTTTCCGAAGAGGGTTTTATTAATTCGAGTTCGACCCATTCTAGGCTACGCGCCTATTAATTACAACCTTTCTTTTTGGGAAAGAAATACCCTTTGATTCCAATTCGAATAAAATGTAACTTGAGGATTTTGGTGTTTGTTTGATTTTGTGATTGCACCTAGGCCGAACCCTAGATTGCCTACGTACCCTCTTGAGGGATCAAGTCACTCGTAGTTCACGGTGTTTGGGTTTTGATGCCTTGTGCAGTTTCAGCTTGTGCGGGTGAGGACTTTAAGCCATTGGAGCGTTTTGATGCCTTGTGTAGTTTTAGCTCATGCGGGCGAGGAGCATTTGAAAATTTGATATGGCTTCGTGCCATTTGAGACTTTTCTTTGGCTTTGCGCCATTTGAGACTTTGATACGGCTTCGTGCCCTTTGAAACTTTTCTTCGGCTTCGTGCCATTTTGGTATTTGATAGCAGGAGTGAATTTAGTTTATATAAACCAGGGATTCGTTTCGGTTTGGCGGTTGCATCTAAAATTTGATATTAGACTGCCTACGTATCCTTAATGGAATCAAATTGGCGTAGTTCGTTAATTTTGAGACTCATCACGGCTTTGTGCCATTTAATACTTGATATGGCTTCGTGCCACTTGTATCTTGTAAATTTAATGGGAATATTTGTAATGAACCCACTATTACTTTAGTATTTGACTTTGTCTCGGTGCCATGCATCTCAGACTTCTTGAATAAATTTAACTTTGATGGATGCCATATTTATAAAACCCATATGAGTAATATGGAAAAGCTACTCTTTTTTTTTGTTTCGTGGATAGCTTTCCCATTTTAATTTGAGGAAATTGTATGTAGCAAGCTTCTTATTTCTTCCCTTGTACACTTTGATTCTTCCAAGTCCAGATGGGATATCACATGGTGTCAAAGTCTTAGCATAAAAAAGGCTTTTGATGGAGTAGCTTCCCCTTTTTTTTTTTATAATTTTCTTTTGAATTTTCATACCTATTTGTCATAGGATTTTGAACCCAATTGACCCAAGACTCAAGTTTCTTTTAACCTGCCAGCAGGTTTTACTTTTGTTTTTTATGCCTTTAAGGCTTCAAAGCTTGACATCCACATGGGGTGCAGTGTAGACCCCTAGGTACCGTTTGGTACGTGGGACGGAACTAGCCGTTCCGTCCCACGTTTGGTGCACCTAAAAATTGTGGAACGGGTTGTCCCATGGGACGAAATTTGACTGATTTTTCGTTCCACCTCTTCCCCCTGGAACGACCCGTTCCACATCCATGGACAAAAATTTATAACATTTTATGACAAAATTTCTCCTTATCTTTTTCAATATTTACATAATCTGTTCCGTCCTGTTCTGTCCCGTCCCGTCCCATCCTGTTCCGTCCCGTCTGCGTACCAAACGATACCCCAATTTCAATACCCTCTCTTCTTTCCCACGTGAGATGTAGCTTTTCTTTTGAACCTACTTTGAATTTTCAAACCTTCACAAAACAAGCTTTACTTTTTTCATGCTTTTTTCACAACTTCCCACGTGGGTTCGTGATTTTCAGGAAGCTTTATCCACCCTCTCTTTCTTTTATGCGGTTTTGAGACCTACAAATCCAACAAAAACTTTTATGCGGCTTTATTCCTCCCTGGCGAAATGGGTTTTTTAAGAGTCCCCATTTTTCTTGGCTCTCATACAGGGTAATTTTCCTCCAGAAGCAACTGATATCCTTGGGTACCCGTCATATTTCAAATTTCTATTTGGATTGGGTAACCGTGGATTTCTCAGTGAGGATGGATAAGGTTTGTTGAAGTTCAATCTTATTTTCAAATTTCTTTGATTTAACATCGTTTCCCCTTGAGTCCATGAAGGCTTTCATTTTTCCCCTCTTTGATTTCTCAGGTCCACGAAGGCTTTCACTTTTCCTTTGCTGTATTGCTCTTTTGCTTTTGCCACTTCACTTGTGTTTCTTTTTGTGAATCGAGAACTCAAAACGAAGAGAGCAGTGGGAGCGAAGTAGGTTACCCATTTTCATTTTATTTATGTTCTGAATTTGTTTATGTATTTGGAGTGAAACGAAGCTCTACACTTTGATAAATTTCTTGAATCTTCCGTGCATGCATTCGTCATAGGTAAAGGCTTCTCTTCTATTTGGTTGTTGGACATACTATTTTACGGCACCAAGTTCTTTGAAAGCAAGTGTTGATTCATGGCTCCAAAGGTGAGGATTGCACTCTAAAACTTGTAGGGCGCCCTCATAATATTTGTTGTATTTGTGTGCTGCCTTCTATGTTTAATTGGAATAGAATTATACTTTTCCATTTGTATGTTTGGCGAGTGGCTTTACAAACAACCGTGCTCATGATAATTTTGTCCTGCTTGTTTGTACTTGTGTAAATTGATTTGCATATCAGGTCTTTGGGTGTTAATACATAGGTTGCCCTATGAATGAGTTTCCCAATTAATTTTGGGAGGTTTTGACATCAAGCTTTAAACTCTTTTTTTTCACATTCAGATGGCAGAGAAGCAAGTGAAACTTTTTGACACAATGAAAGTTTTGTCCCATCTTCACGTGGCAAAGAAGGTTGCTTGTCCATTTAAAGATTGGGAAATTTTCCCTTTCTTTCCTTGTCTTGTAGCATTTCAATGTCTTTCTTTGGTCAAAGCTTTGACACAATGTTTAATCAAAACTTTGACACAATTGTAGCATTTCAAGGCTTTGAACCTTCTCCTTCCTTCTTTGTCTTTATGAAAGTTGTGTTGGGGACTTTTCTTTTGTCATCATCAAAATTTCTGATTTCTTTTCCTTTGTTTATTTGTCAACACATGCACTTACTCTCTTTAGCTTTTCCAAACATGATAACCACCTTCTTTAGCTTTTACAGAAAACTTTTCTTCATTTAGTCACTCTCCTTAGAGCATATTTTCCTACTTTTCTTCTTGAATTGGGGAATTTCCAAGCATGTGTCGGTCAAGGGAAGTTTTTTTTTCCTTTGCAAACCATCTTTTCCATTTTCTTCTTTCTTGGACTCTATCCCCAATAAGTTTTCATATAATTTTTAGCCAAAGCCATCCTCCATGTTTTGTACCCGTGGGTAGCAAAAAACACCAAATAGAATAATTTCTTTTCTCTTTCTTGAGTTGCATTTTTGTATATGTTGACTCCTTGCTGTCTTACTTCTCGGGAACTTAAGCTTAGAACTTTGAAACTGCACTTGACACTCTGGCGAAGGGGTAGACCATTTAAACTTGGTTAAAATTTCACGGGGTGGTCTAGGCCACCCCGAAGAAATTCATGGGATTCTTGGAGATTATCTTTGCTGCGGCTGGGGAGTCGGTGGATATTTAGAGTCTCCAACTCCATTTAATTGGTGAAGAACGCCAAACAAAGAGGCAAAGGTCTTATATGCTTTTGCTTATTTCCCTTTCCTCATTCAATTTTTGTTTGTCTGCAGCTTTTTATTTTTGTGTTTGCTGCCGCAATGCTTTTTTGTTCTTCCTGCAACATAACATCAAACAAGAGAAAAAGAATAATTTTAACAGAACTTGCTTCATACCTGGTGATGAATGTTCTTCTTTTGGATCTTGATTCAAAAGCACAAAATGGTTGAATAGCTTGCTCTCTTTTTTTGGTAGCAGTTCGTTGCTTTTGGTATTCTCTCAAAGTTTCTCTATTTTCTGTAGAGTTTCCCCTTCTTTTTTTTTCTGTGTTTTCTTGCTGCAACTGATGCCTATTTATAGGCATCCTAGGAAGGCTCTAGAGTTTGTTATGTGGGGAGAGATAGAGGCCATGACCTCTTGCCACTTTCTGTTAACGTAGGGAGAAATGCATATTTATTTATGGATGTTGATTTGTATGTAAAGCCCATCCTCATCTTTTGGGCTAGATTACACTTCTGTTTTACCTTGTAGTTTGACCCAAATTGTATGAACTCTTTTTTTTTTATTTTGTATATTTTTGCTATTCAACATCCACTAAAGCGGTTGCAACCGATAAAAGCAAAGCCAATTGAACAAACAATATACATATGCAAATGTTTGATGCAACCCTTTCTCCACCATTTTCTTAGCAAGATCATTAATCCCCCCCCACAACTAAGAAAAATCATTATTAGAATGCACACAATGAATATAAATATTAAGTTGATTTTGAAGTGCCAATTTATCTCGATCCATGAAGTCTTTAGGATACATCTGAGCAAATAGTGGTGGAGTGGTGAATTGAAACAAGTGGAGGTATGATATTGGACTTATGTAATTATAATATGGGATTGAGGGCTGGTTTGGTATTGCTGTGCTTTGAAAAAAAGTTGCTGTGAGAATAAGTGGCTGTGAAAAAATCAGCAGAGTGTTTGGTAAACTTTTTGGTAAAAGTGCTTTTGAAAAAAAAAACAGTCTGATAGTAGGTCTTTTCATTAAAGGAGCACTGTAGCTCCGTGTGCTTTGAAAAAAAGCCAGTTTTCCAAAGCTGCAAATAGCAGCTTCAGCTTTTTCCTTTGATTTCAGCTTATTCTCACAGCAGCTTCCAAAATAAGCCATTTTTTTTAGTTTACCAAACACCTAAAACCCTCACAGCTTTTTTTCATGGGTATTTTTTTTTTAAGCACCTCACTCCCAAACCACCCCTGAGTCTAAGGTGGGATTAGAAATTTAGGGTTTTGAAATTGAGGGAAAGAGGGAACCACATAATGGGGAATTGGGGGGAAAAGCAGCGGGGAAAAGAGAACATTGGGGAAAGATGTGGGGCTCAGGGGCTGGGCTTTAAAATTAAAACAATGGACAAACGACAGCGTTTTGTCTCTTTTTTTTTTGATTTTTTTTTGTAACTTAAACAATTGGCCAAAACACTGCCGATTTGGACCAATTGTTAAAAAGTCCTATTTTCTTTCTTCTCCCCGCTGTCTTCTTCTCCGCAGATCCGCTGCAACTTGCAACCACAACCTACACATCGGCACAGACCTTGCATTGGGCACAAGTAGTAGTAGTTCATCTTGGCGAGAAATACCCTCAGATTATCTTGGTCACTTGATCTCCCCCAGGTTTAATGTATGTACGTACGGATATATGCATTGGTTGTCAATAAATGAATTCGGAGGCAAAACAAGACGTATAATAATTTATTTCGACTTCAAGGAAGAAGAGTTCTCTTGAATGTCTATTCCTCCCACGAGTAGCTCCTCAAACAAGCAGCAGCAATAGCAGCACTCATGTTTGCACTTACTTCTTTGGCTTTCTTGCAGACGACTTCTTCATCAGAGAGGGAAAGGTATAAAAAATTGGGATAATGATAAAAAGAAAAAAGAGTGGGTGTGAATTTTTAATACATACGCAAATAGAGTTAAAATCACTGAAAATACTTGTAAAAATACAAGGTAATTGTAGTATAATCACTCATGCAAGGTTGTTGTCCTCAAGGATTGTTTGACTAACGTGTAATTAAACTAATTCTTAATTAATTATTAAAACAAATTTTTATCAAAGATTTGAGATTTTTGAATTTTCAAAGATTAAATTAACAATAAAACAAATCTAAAAAGTTTGGAAATAATAGCAGCAAAGAAGAAAAACGTTTTTTAAATTAAATAATTATGGGAAAGACTAGGGTGTAGCCGTCATTGTTAACAATCATACTCAATGTTATCAATTACTTATGAATTTCCCCATACATGCTTTGAAGGTTAGGTTTTCTTAATGCATATTTTCCTCATGATGTTTAAGCGAAAACGTATATCTAACATGCAATCCGTCTGTGATGTTCAGATCAAATATAAACATGCAAGACTTATTAAGCTTTTGTGAAAATCCTTTGAAGAACCATGCAACCCTTAGGAGTGTGATGTTCGCCTTAAGTGAACTTACAATTACTAATCACAAGAAGCCCTCCTCAATTTCAGGATGATGTTCCAACAGAAATTGTATCAAATTACTTATGTAAATATCCTAATGGTGATTAAGCATTAAAATATATAGATAGTTTTAATTGTGGTGATTACTAAAGCAAAGCAAGCATGCATCCATTCATAAGCAAATTAATAAAATCACATATTCATGCTAAGACTCATGGTCTCGCCCTAGCAATAGAAATTAGTTACGCATACTCATAATAAAAACCAAAGAAAATATCATTAATTAGAAAAAAGATTGAAAACACCTTATAGGTAAAAAGTCTAAAATTCTCCAAAGCTTTGCTAAGTTCTCTCAATGTGGCGTTCCCCACCCTAATGGCTAAAAAGCCTTATTTATACTACTACAAATTAAAACACTTCCTAAAAAAGGTCTTCTTAAAACTAGAAATAAAATAATAGAAGGATAACTTAAAAGCACACTCCAAATCTGACTAGGAAATATGCCCAGTAGAGAAATAGCCACGTTTTTGGACCTTCAAGGCTCCAAAATAAGCCCAAAACGAATCAAATTAAAGATTAGGACCTCCTCTTCAAGTTTCAAGAAGAGCCCAAGTCCAAAAGTCGCAAATAAGCTCCCTAATTTGCTAGCACTGCGCGCTGGGCATGAATTAATTCGCCATGATTAGATGATTCGGGATAAAATTAAGAAATTTTGACATAAACTTCTTGACAGACTCATGAACCCGCTCCAATTGGAATCACTCAAAAATTCCACCGTTTGATCATTTTATGCTCTAAACAATTTCGCCCATCCTATGTTGAAAATACATAATAAAGCATCAAAATCTCATTAAAATAATAACCAAAATATACCAAGAATAGAAAAAAAAATATAGTATAAAATAGACTGATCAAGTATAACATAATAAATACCAAAATGGAAGACTTTACCCTTGTTATAATATAATGGGGTATATACTTGTACAGAATGGGAGAATGTGATGGTTTTTACAGAGCTCAAAGTTCGGCATACTTTGCATCATTCTTTTTACATCTAAGATCATGATGATTATTCCATCAGCATCAATCGTGTAATAATAACCCTAGCTGATGCTGTTGACAATATGTACAGTTTATCTACCGCCGTCTTAAGTTGTCGTGAGAGCTTGATTTCTTTGATTATCACTACGTGGATGACGACGATGCTGATGAACTGGTTGCTACTGCTGGATTGAAGATTGATAAATCTATCGTGTAACAAGCATGCTGAGTATATCTAGAGATAGAATTAGAAGGGCAACGTTCTCTTCACTAGCAGGCCCTATAGAGACTGGTGAATAATCGATTAAGGTAAAATATCTCTGCAGTGTTATCTTGCTCAAAAATGCACGAGGAAACAATTATTCCCAAATCTCTCATCATTGGTATCTCAACTCTCAAGTGTTATCAACTTCTTGCAACTCCAGAATTTTTTCAAACCAATGAGGTCAAACCAAATGGGAGCTTGCTATTGCTCTCTTTTCATCACCAAATTAATTTAGATACTGGATTAGAGCCGTGGAGGTAAGTCATATGAGGTTTCATCTCATCTCTGAGTTATCTTGTAGTCAAGTTTAACATCTCTGGAATTGATACCAGGCGAAATCCCTGCAATGGATTTAGTTATAGACTTTGTGGAACCTTTTCCCACCCATGACGACCCCAAACTGACACTGATATATGACAGCAATCAAATACACATTTATCTTACAGATATAAACATAACTAATCACACGATACTAGTCAAGAAAGAACACATATCACTAATATAAGTTCACAATTATAATCAATTATGTATAAGATAGTACCCTATTGAGATTTGAATGTTTTACCATGTAAATCTTCACACCAATTAATATAAAATAAGCATACATCACACAATAATATTTGTGCCCA